TTTAATAATTGTATTAAAAATAATATTAATGACGAATTTTAATAACAAAATAACACCTGAATTAATCAAACGTTCTTTTTATGTAGTTCCATGTATGTTTTTAAAATTTCATTTTAATTTCATGTTTTTTATGATTATCTCTTTTAAAATGAAATTATAATTTCTGTACAGAATCAAATTATATAGTATTTACATATTTATTATCATTTTACGTAATTTACTGTTTCTCTCGTTCTCTGTATTTTAAGCATTATTTATTGCAATACAGTTAAGCTTTTATATATAAATAAAATATTATTAATATTCTATTCCTATGCTATAAGAACAACACTCCAAAATTGGTTTGTGTTTTTCCGAAAAAAAAAAAAAAATCGCTTCGTGTATGAAATCAATTAAAACAAATCATCTTGATTTAAAGTACAGTAATTTAAACGTTTGTAAAATCTATTTTGCATAAAATATTAGAGAAATTCGAAAGATACTCAAGTTAATACTAAACAATGCATTAATGGATGATGCGAAGATGACGATATTACAAAAATAATTGTTTTTTAAATAAGTTACTTGAATAGAATTTTGTTTTTATTATCCAAGCATTTTCGGCTTTATTTATTATTTAAAACAAAGTAGCAATCATGACCATTTAAACTGCACTTGCAAGTCCGTGACGTCGGGTCACGAAATATCATGTAGACCTGTAGTGGCACGTTTGTCGTATAATTTATGAAAAATATAATATAATGAGAAAAATAGCAAAATACGTGAAAGTAATCCGAATAGTAAATGTATTCTTCATTTCTCAGAATTTGTAAGAAGAAATGCTGTTAACATAGAATTAATTATATTGGATTATTTACTTACTTTGTCAAGACATTAAAGAATCATTTAATATAAGTTAGTATATTTCATTTCATTTGACATTAGTGAAATAAATTACATATAAAATTCAACTAATTATAATTTTTAATTAAAAGATTTAATTTTATTGAAAATAATAAAATGCATTTAAATATTATTTAAATATTTAAGATTATAATTGCAAATACAGTGGTGCCTCGAATAACGGACGCTGCGAACAACGACTTTCCGTTCGGCAGTTACGTGAGGCGAACAACAAACTTTCTGCGAACAGTGCGAATGATATTTTCACTCTTTTGCCGTTGCCAATGACAATCTGCTATTTTTATAATATATTAGTGTTATTAGAATATATTATTAGTATATCTGAAGTACAGAACTCCCGTTGGAATTCGGCTTGTTCCCTTTTTATTACGTACATCATCTCAGTGCAGGGTATTTACATTTATTCAAGCGTTGTGCAAATCACGGCTTCTAAAAAAACAGAAAGGTGATTTCAATTGAAACAATGTAATCATCAGAAGGAGTGAAAGTTGACAACAACTTCCTTGTCGAATGGGAGAGGTTCAGGAGTTTACCAACACTCATTATCCAAACAGAGCTGAGGCCACCAGGATCAATGATCTCTACAATTGCCCGTCATTTCTGACATTTAGTAGAAAGGAATAGAGGGCTATCCGTGATAAGCAACAGACTTTACCCTATTAGAAGTCGGAAAGAAGAGTTTAGGAAAGCAAGAAGAAAGAGCAAGAAGAAGAAGTAAAGGAGGATAGAAAAGTGTGAAGATAGAGCAACCAAGGCCCCCACGGGACCCGACGGGCGCCTGCATCGGGTCTTTTATTAACAAACAAACAAACCTATATACATAATGGGTAATAGTACCTTACAATACAATTTTGCCCGACAATTTAATTTTCCTTTAACAATATTTTAACAATAGCATAACAATTTGATTAACATTAGAATTTTTTATATTTACAATGTTTATCAGTAATTTGATACCACAACTTGTGGTTTTATGCAATGGATGTTAAACATATATACAATGATCAGTAGCTACAAGTTGACTAACGCGATATATAATTGATAATCTTTAACAAAATGTATACCACAAACAAGGCATATACAAAACAAATTGCTACTGGCAATCCACTCACCTTGAATGGATGATTTGCCTTAATTTGACAGATATATACATGTTATCGCCAGATCATAATATAAAATAGAGTATCTTATAAACTGTACATTGTATATGTTACCTCAAAAGACCAATTCAATTAACTATATTAGAAACCAATAACAGTTGATTAACCGTACAACCGATTTCAAACATGAGTTTTATCTACAATCTTTTAATACCTTGCTACCTGCCTGGACTTTCAATAATATACTTTGAGCGCAGATTACAGTAAAATCAATTTGTGTATAATTATTATACAAACTGTACAATCGCATCAGTGTCATTTTTACACCATATCACTTAAATATACATAAGTTGGTATTATTGTTACAATAACACCATTACAAAGTCCATTATTAGTCTTTTTAAGGCAGCCATAATCATCCATATTACCTTATAATTAATTATCTTATTCTAACAATTATTAAACAGATGAATGTACATGCTGTTCCCTTGTCGCTGCCTGGAAGGACCCCATGGATAATCACACAAAGAGCTTTTGCGTCAATTATAAGCACACCATATTATGAACAACTTTTGAACAGGTGAATCTTTTGGAATCCTCTCGGTCACTCGCNAAGATAATAATATAAGATAGAAAAAAATATTTTATACAGTTTCTTCTTTTAATTTTAAAATTTTTCATCTATGAGAGGACAAAGAAAGCAGTATTTCTGATAGCTATACATATATATTATATAATCTTTTAAAAGTAATTTTATTTTGTTGCGAAAATATTGAATCGTTTTTTATTTCGTTTGGTTATAAAACTAAATTTAAATTTACCAAATATAAATATGAATAAATGAAAGTATATTTATATAAGGGTTATTTAAGAGAAAGTATATTTAACTTCAGAATGATAAATAAAACGAATACTCGAAGAAATGGAAATGTCAATGAAAGATGTAGAAAAATAAACCAGAAAGTAACGTGTGTATGTTGGAAAAGATTCAACAACCTTATTAATTTATCGCATTCCATTTTTATAATTTTGAATGTGCATTTAATCAATTTTAAATAAGCCATTTAACATTAAATTATTTAAAATACAAAATAAATTAAACAATTGTTAAGTTCGATTTTTACAAATCATAACTATGATAATTTAATTCTTTATAAATTACAAAAAACTAAGTGAAAATTTATTTTAATACAGAAAAACTTTACAGAAAAAGTTCTGACTTCTTTCAAGTTAAATTGAATTAGCCCAATTCGAAATAATGATGTAAATTAGTATTGTCATTGAAATTTCTACATTATAATTCAAATATTATATCGTTATAATTAAATTGGTGGATAAAATATGCATTTGAATTTAATAAGGACGCAAACTTATTAACACTAGATTACTGTATTCATAGTTAAACAATATAAACAATAGATAATTGTCTGAACTAAACTGAGGCAATTTTAATTCTAAATTTGCTTTATATCTTTAATTTTGTTTGAATTATACAATTATTGTTTATTTTGAGCGAGTTAATACATTGCAAATATTTAGCTTATTTCACGATGATAGTGTGAAGATAAGATTATAATCAGATTCATTATTACTATAAATACAGTATTAATACATTCTATTTATGTATTGTGTAGTATTCTTAGCAGTTTTTTTACATTTATAGATAAGATTAAATTAAATTAATTACTCTGTTCCAAACTTTACGTAATATCAGGTCAAAGTTTGCTTTTATCTAAACGAGCAATTATTTATTGTGACATCGTCACATTGCTGGACTGCAATTTTTAACCATATTTTTAATTTATTTAATTTAAAAAATATGCTCTCCACCTCATATTGGTAGTGTCTTGTCCCAGTACATTATACTTTTCCTGTTAAATTGATGACCGGCACGACTCTATTGCTAACTCCTTTCTCGAAACTAAGGAAGGACAGACTGACAGTGGGAATTTATACATCCAATTAAGATTTTTTTTTCCATTTTCTGCTCTATGGGTATCTAAAAGATTCTTTCTTATCCATTCCATAATCGGGGCGACCAGGTGATATGGGACGGGGCTCGACAGATTCGGGGCAGATACCAATATTAACATTTTGATTATTATAAATTTCTCAAAATAAATCATTTATTAATTTTTTATTAATCTTAAAGATCTTTGAGTTAAGCCACTTTTATTATCGAAGTGAATAGACACAACGGAAATATTTTATAATCTGTTTATTACATTTCGACAAAATAAAATAAATACAGTAATTGCATTGAATGTAAGAAATAACAAATAAGATCTAATTATTGGTTACTTTCGATTAATGGATAAAATAACGATAAACTCCCTGAAAATGATTTGAATATTAATATATTCATTTGCATATATTATCTGGTCATGTAATAAAGACCGACACATCATTTATTCAGTTTTTACATTGTTTTTTATGCTTATTAACGATGCATGTTCGTGTTTAATATGACCTATGTTGCAGGAAAAGCGATTTTATAAAATTATTAATGTTTAATGATAAATGTTAGGAGCATTTAAAATATTTAATAAATTTACAAACAAATATGGGTGTTATATAAAATCACTGAAAATCTTTATATTTACTGTAATTATAAATGATAATATATTAATAATTTATATATAATAGTATAATTATAAAATTTTCATTTTATTTGATAAATTTGTATATATACAAATACTTATTTATATTATGTAAATATGTGCTATAATATAAATGTATAATAATGTTCTCATATACAATATTATTGTATATTTATGTTTAAAATAATATATTAACAGAGTTTAATTTAAATAATTTTGCTAATTGAATAAAATTTGTTTTGACAGTATTAGCACATTTCAGTTTTATTTGTTAATCTTAGTATCACGTATTTATTTCAGTTTATTAAATTTATAAACGTCTTATATGTATTTACTATTAATTTTAAATTATTATATTTTATTTCATATATATTTAAACTATTTTCTTTATTTATAGGCTAAATGAAGTCAATTAATAGAACGTCCCTCAATATTATGTTTCCTAATGTTGAAAACAGTTAAAATGTAAATAAAAGGTAAGGACTAAAATATGATTTTTATTTAATATTTAATGTAAATTTCTTTCCGAATGAACTTTTGCATAAAAAATTAAAAAATCTAAAAAAAATTAACGCAATTTATATTTGAACATATATCAATTTGAGACGTATATTGATTTATTAATTAGCTGAGTTATGGTGATATTCGTTCATTAATGATCGTAAATTTTTAATAAATTAAAATAAGTTATTATATAATCTAAAGAATATTTATAATTTTTAACGTGTTAAAATATCGATACTAAAAATTTTATTTAGCTATATATGCTCATTTTACTTTTAATAATTTTCAAATATTTTAAATGGAATCTATATATATTTAATATTTAAAAAAATTTTAATTCAAATTTTTGTATGTAGTTTTTTTTAATGTGTGTAAAACTATAGACTACGATTTTTGTCCGATGAGACTTGTTAATGTTGGAGTAACTTTTCTTTTTGGAATAATTCTATTAATTAATAGAAACGACTGTAATTAAGCCAACACATGCCCGACATCATATTTTATTCTATTTATAATATATTTACTGGATTTATGTTTTTAGTTTACTATAGAATATAATTAAAAAAAATGCACAGTTTACAAAATTCACAGGATTAAGTTTTAATATTATAATGAGGATAATTATTTTATTTAGAATAAAACTTATTCTAATTTTCAAAACCAAAACATTTTTATATCTTTGATTCCTCCCGTGTTTAAAACTTGGAAGTTAATTAATTAAATAACAACAAAATATTCAGTTTTTTCGTTTCAGTTTAATATCATATTAATTAAGCATTAATTTTAGATCGATCAAATCATTTTTTATTCGACCATTGAATTTACATGCTAAAGGTTAATATAAAATTTAGATTAATTCATTTATTGGGTAGATAACAGAGTAAGTCTTTATTAATCTAAGTGGATTCGATTATGAATATTTTATCGGTTTTATTTTTTGTATAGACTATTGCATTAATTAACTTTATAATAAGTTAATATAATTTTATATTTATTAAATTTAATTTAAGATAATTATAAAATTTGTAAAATTATGAAATATTAAAGCTATTCTATGTCATTAGTACATAGAGAAAGATTAGCTTTTATTAGTTGAAGTAAGAATGAAATAACTTGATGAACGATAATTAGAACTGAATTAAAATTGATAAGCACATAATATTAATTGTTTATGTAAAGTAGGTTAATTATGCAATTAATATTCCTTTTAATCATCAATAAAAACATAGTAATAAAGTTTGGCTTGAAATTTATAATAAATTATTTAAATAGATCTTTATACCCGTATACAGTATATTGTATAGATATTTTTTTGTGTGTGCTTATACATTTCTTAGAAAAAGGGTTCATAAAATTTACTATAATAATCGAAGAAAAAACTTAAGTTTTGAATGGTTGTTGATAAATAACTAATTATTCTCAATATTTCATTTAATAAATAATATTCACTGAGCTTAAATAATAATTAATATTTAGCTTTATTCTATATCAAAATTCAATTGTCGTCAACATTTTAAGCGATTTCTCTAATTAAATTAATAATTTTAGACCAGCATAAAGTCATAAAATGTTATTAAACAAATAAAATAAAATAAATAAAATATATAAGTTATAACACATTATTAAATAAATTCAGCTTTATTATACAATAAAAAATTTTAAATTTATTCTACTGCAAAATTTTGTATTTAAATTTAAGCCACTATGCGTAACAAAGAAATTTGATTTTCTTCATACTTAAATATTCATTCTCAAGTGATTAACAAGAATGTTATTGTGCAAGCAGAGCAATAAATGTTGGTATTCGAAGAATGAATGCATTCATCTAAATGTTCTTTTTTTTTTCTAGTCAACGGACTGGTTATTAACAAGTCCAATCACACGTTAATAATTAGAATGTAATAAAACTAAGTTGTAAACACATTCATTTTGATCATTTGAAATAAAATAAAAACTTTTAAGCATATACTAAATATATAATAAATTTTATTTAGACGAAAAAATATCATATAGATGTTTTAGTTTACGACAATTCTTAGAATCAGTGAAATAAAGATTTAAATTATAGGGAGTTTCTTGTACATGATATTTTAATTAATATTATCCTGTTTATATATATATTATAGTAAACTTCTAAGAAGTATATCTAGAGAATACTGAAAACAAAGCTTGCATTAAAAGGCAAATAATAATGTCGGAAAATGAGGCAGCTGTAGAAGACTGCCTCGATCTAAGTCTAATAGAAGAACAATTCTGCCAAAGAATTAAAGAAATTCGTGGTAAGTCTATTATATATACTTTTTTATTTTTATAACTTATATTAATAAATAATCTACTCTTAATTTAAAAAAATTTTTAATTTAAATTTATTTATATACATGTTTTTCAAAGATGAAGGAAATCTTAATAAGCTCGATTACACTTTTAATCGTTCAGAAAGTTTGAAGTTGTTTACATTCTTATAGTTTAGATCAGTTCCTTATACGGTGTATACGTATAATTGCGTGTTTAGTCTGTTTATAGAAGACGCCAGAGTAATGAATCATCAGCAGAATTAATTTTTTTAAAACAGTTTTATAATTTCATAGCTTTCTGAGATCGGTTATTATTTTTTAAAATATTCTCAATTATAAATGCGATAATATTTTTAAACTGAAAGAATAAAAAATTTAAAATATAATCTAATATATTACATCATTACTATAATACTATAAGGATATTACATATGGTATTATAATGCAATATAATACTAATGTAAACCCTACAATAGCTAAAATATATAGTGTATATAGTAAATTTGTAATATTTGTCTCTGGTAAATAAGCATTTTAACATACAAAATAAATATTGAAATAATAATGAAAATTTCGGATTCTAGACATAAATTATTGCAATTCATTAATAAGTTAGAATATATAAATGAGTTACAATAATGATAATTTGGTATTATTTAATTTAATATGTTATCGACGTATAGTCTTTATTAATTGTAATAGCAAATTTGTCCACCACAGTTCAATTAAATTCCCGGAATTAATTATTTATTACTATAATAAATAATTAATTCCTGAAGTAGATAAAAAAATTATCTGAATCGATTTGTGATGATGTATTGTTAAATGATGTGATGATGTTGAATAGTTTTATTATTTTGCGTAAAATATTTACTTCTCTATCTTTTATTTTTTCATTTAGATAGCTAATGAAACAAATTTATTTAAATATTAAAATTTGTTATTGGATCAAG